TATTCGGCTTGAGCAATTATGAAATTCCCGCTTTGTATTGCGTTTCTATGTTATATCTATTTAATAAATTCATAATATCACTGTTTTAAAAAATAACTTTCTTGATGCTGCAGTTTTCAGAAGGCGACTCACCGTATACATTCAAATAATGCACAGACATGATAAGTGCAAAATATGAACATGGAATCGATAGCTATTGGCACGGACATGATGTAGAATACGCTGATAAACGCAACCAGCATCAAAAGATTGAAATACTTGTCCACATCAAGAACATGTTCTAAACGAAATAGAAATCTGGCCGAGTATGTTTCGTTCGTCGGTAAAAGCGTGTATATTCCGGTAATGACGACCGATGTCATACAATAAAAGATCCACGTCATGTAAAGAACAACTGAAATAACAATCTTCTTTCACTTTACATTTTACTTAAAAATCACAATAGTTTAACAAAAACAAATAGTCAATATAAAAATTAATAAAAAGATAAATTTTTTTATAACTTTTTTTAACTTTTATAACAAGTCTGCTCTCTTGATTTATATCTAATCTCTCGAAAGTTTGAAAACAATTTGAAGAAAGAGAAAAAAGAGGAAGTAGTCATAACTTTTTAGAAATAATGTAAAAAGAACAGATCGAAATGAGAGAATATAATATTAAAAGCTAAAAATGTATCATATTGCCAAATTTATAATATTTATATGAGATAAATTTTTTTAATTTATAAAGAAAAAACTTACATGCGTATCGTATCGAGAAGGTTTTGCTTTCCTCTGCGTAATTCTGTAATATTTTTTTTCTGGTCCATGTTTTATCTTCCAAGTCTCCTCGATTTCCTCCAAAAACTCTTTCATCTGTAGCTCGAAGAAATCGCTCAATATACAATTACAGAACGCACTGAGTAGCTTCGCATGCGGCAGAATGTAAGGTACAAACTTTGTTATTAGTGTACACACAGTTAATGAATTTCATGATGACGGAGCTATTCGCCAGTAATGGCGAAGTATTCTCCATGATGATGCTTAAATTTGTTATCCCAGTTATTAATCCCCAAAGCTACGAAAAAGAAATTAAAGAGAAATTGTCAGTCTCGATTCTAACGTATCGCTGTCATAAATATCTTTAAACACCTCTAAGGCTGTCAAACAGAAAATGAACAAAGATGATGTGACGAACATGATGTT